TCTTTCAAGACCTTAAGCCACAAATAAACTTTGGTATGCACTTTCATTAAGTTGTTTCGAAGACAATAACATTTTATCGTCGCATTCTTTATAAATTGGAATAAAAGCAACAACACGTGCCATGCCCTGTAAACCATTGAAGCACAAAAACCGCAAACAAAATTTTCCTTAAAAATAATTCATCTTTTAAAATAAAATATCATTCGCTACATTTACACATTTTTGCCTACTTTAACAACCTGTCAAAAGGTATATCTGTGCGTGTTTATCTAGGAAACAAGCAAGAAAATGGGAGCATTAAAGGATGTTCGTTCGCATATCCATTTTTAAAACAATTTTAAATTGAAATATTTTACGAATAACTTTCACTCTTACTGCTCTAGTTTGCAGTTTTGCTGAAGTAGTGAGTAGTGGACTGTTTCAGGTGTTGCTCACCTCTAGCTAAGCATTTTCGTTGGTTTTATTAAGCTAGTTACTAAGTACACCGAACCATGGCTAAGAAGGTATTATTCTGTTGAAGCTTTAATCAACTCCACATCCACACCGACCTTCTAACAATGAAAACTGGATAGCTGTGTGTCACTGTAAGTCAAAGCAACTCCGAGTAAACGAGTCCCAGTCAAGTTTGGTGCTCACATGACTTGGCTCCTCACATGTCTGCCGAGTGACCCGAGATTGCGGTGTTGATGATGTTCGCATGACCGCATCTGGTGAAAGCGCACTGTTTGACACAATTTCATCGCCTTGTCTACGATGGCTATGAGTTGAAAGTTTCTCCTCACCTCCTGAGTTAGCCACTAATTTACTTCTTCTTACTCTCACAGGGCGGATTATTGTGCAGTATAGGGTTGCTGGTGATTCCCAGGATGATAGTATTTCGGATAACATGTCTGTTTAAACGAACGAATGTTTTTTTTTTCCTTTGCTCCCCTTAACACGTATATTTGACTGCATACTTTACTGTTAAATGTCGACTGATAAAATTTTGCTATGAAGTGGAAGGGTGTTTGATAAAAAAAACATTCACGAATGAAACCATGCTTCAAATCCCTCCTTTGCGTCTGAATGGTGCACCAAGTGTTTTGATGAAATTGACATTTGAGGAAATCAGCATCTTCCTTCTGTTAGTATTGAATTGGGAATCGAAAGATCTCAACTGTTTTGTGCTGTGCAACTAAGTTCCGAAGTTTCTACCATAGCAACAGCAAGCAGTCGCTGATCGTATTTGGTTGGAGGGGGAAATGGCACCCATACACGTCTCAGACTGCTCGTCAAAGAGCATGTCGACATTAAGTGGACATAATTATTCATTTTTGATCCTAAAATGTTTATTTAACTGCCTAATTTCATTGACACCGCCTAAGGGAGCACCATTCGGCCTCTCACGGGTGGTTGTCACCTTGGATGTGGGCCGTTCGTCCCTTCTACAAATTGACAATGCACATTCTGCAAGGAACTTGGCGTAAACATATGCATTTGAGGAACTCTTTGACTCCTGCATTGATGGTCGAGAAAAGTAAAGCCAACTTTGAAAGACATCCATCTAGATATTTATTGCTGAGTGATACACCGAGAGGAGAAGAAGTTAATGTGGTGTGTGAGGAAAATGACGTCGTTTTTGGCCACCACTTCAATCTTTTTTTGGTCTGCAGGAAAATGAGTAGAAATGGATATTGTATCTACTGGATTTGTTTAAAATCTTAGTATAAAGATGTTAATTAAGTGGACGTGGTATGCTTCCCTTTCTTCTCTTCTAGCCGACCAGATGCAGTATCAGAGTGCAGGATTGGAGCTTACCTTGCAGGAATTCACTAAATTCCGTCTATTAATCGTATGATTCGGCCTTCATTACGCTATCTTAACCATTCCAGATAGACATATGAAAAGACCAGAGCACCCTCCACTGCTCTAATAAGGCTCCCAATAGAGCAAAACACCAGGCGGTTGGACACCCTCTCGGTCGCCCATCCCTCCAGTGACTGACACGTTAGCTTGTGGGCCGTCCAGTGGAGCCCTGACCCCTTCTTGATGGCCAGCACTAGAGGTAAAGAGGCTCCACTGCCTTACCTCTGACGCACAGGCTTAAAATCGGGAAATCCAGAGACTCTTTATCCACTTTGACAAGCTGCTTGTGCATTTATAGAAAAGAATTACAATAAGTAGCACAACATTTGTAAAAATGATGAAGATAAGCTAATGTTTGTTGTAAAAATTTTATTAAAAACTATGCGATGCCAATCTTTGCCTTTATATTCTCACCAAGCAATGAACAACCTTTACCAGGTTGAACAAATGACTTAGCATTAAAATTTGAGGCTAGTTATTTTCCGCGTCGTCTAGCAGAAAAAGAGGCTGTCTTTTTTAAGCCCAAGATCAGACATTTGAAAGTTCAATAAACAGTGCCTTTTGCATCAGACTGACTGTTAAACAAATCCATGCTTGTTAATAACGCTTCGGAAAACTTCCTCCCTCTCCACGGTTCCGTATTCCCTTTTCTTCTCGGGCATTTTGACTTTAGAAAAGGCGTGGTTGGGGTCATTGAGTGCCTTTGCATTTGGATCGTAAATTTTGAGTCCATTTACACTAATTACTTTTTCCCTACTCCTAACAATTTGCAGCATAAACTCGTCTCTTTATTGACCATTGCATCGTCTGAATTGAGCCGCATAAGTAATGCAAATTTATCCAAAAAAAAAGCCTCCAGCCAACTTAACCAAGGCGCATTTTACTTCTGGCGACTTCGGAAGTCATAATGAATTATTAAATGATTGTGTTCCCTCCATGCAGCATGTCCTCTGCGACTGCAGTTGATGAAGAGTCTGTTGAAGGCTTGAAAAGGCTAAAAGCAAACAAATTGCATTCCAACCAGACGGAAAAGGTGCGCTCGTAGACCTGCATGCTTGCCGCCCACAACAGAGGTGTTGAAATAGCCACCAGCCTCTGCTGTCTTGCAGAAGCGCAATGTTTTTGACCCTTCGTCCACCTGTGTCTAGGATTGTGTGGTAAAGGTAAGGGAAGCTCTTGGTGATATTTTAAGGCCTCTATAGAATATTTATGAAATGATTTTTTCATTGGTTCCCTGCCTAGCAGACACATATTGAGTTTCATTCGGGAATCGGAGTTTTATGAAGCCCAGGAAAACTTATGACTCTTATTTACGTCCACCGCGCGTCTCATTAACTTTTAATTACCTAACTGATTGGAAATGCAGAAACGGTTTTATTTTGCAAACGGACAATCTAAAGAGCTTTTTTATTTACAGCATTAGCCGCACATATGTAGGAGGACTTTGGTATTTGTGAAGGCTTAAGAAAATGTAGATCTCATTCTCTAAATGAAACAACTGGTGACTTAAGTGAGAGGCGTCGCAAGTCCACCTAAAGGAGACAAGTCTTGAGTGTAATACGTTTTGTCAGCGCAAAGGAGGATTGGGTTTCTCTGACACGCTCCATCCCTCCGGTTGGGCGGTGCGCAATGGTGGGGCTTCGCAGTGAGCTGCAAGCAGAATTGAGAGTCGAAAAATAAGTGAAACACTAATTCTGCGGCTTAATGATATCGTATCTTGTGTGTCCTCGATTGCACGTACAGGTAGCAGAAGACTAGACAACTGATGGTAAACTTCATGGACGAAAGACGCGTAGATTATAAAGTAAGTTGAAAGTACTGTGGAGGCAAGTGAATGTTGATGAGACCAAGTTAACCATTTAATAGTCCTTGTATCACCACAGAGAACTTTCTCAGAGTTCCGCATTGCCTTGAGTTGCGGTAATTTGTGTTATTTCTCCATCCAAATTGAATTAACACATCTGGACTGCTCCTTTGCATTTGTCCTGTTAGAGACAAGCATTGCGTAGGAAAAAAGAAAAGGATGGAGGCAAATTTAGGCCTCACCTTTCGCCTTCCGCATTGGTAATAAAATGAAGTGGACAGCATCACCTTGAAACCGAGACATTTTAGGATCTCAAGTTGCCTGTCAACCAAAGGGCTGGCTTAAGAACTCTCTGGCTTTGCGCTAGCTTTTCCTTTCATGTTGCATCGGAGGAATGACACCTTATTGACACAGACAGCTACCTATGTGGATTTGCCTTGATAATGCATGAAAATCTTTTTGCTCCATCTTGTGTAACCATTCATAAACTCCACCTTACGAGTTCCATCAAGCTGAACATCCTCTTCATAAGATGACTCCTACGAGTTCGTCCTATTTTCCTTTTGAATTTTCAACCAAATCGTTTACTGAGAAATTCTGTCCAGAGTAAAGACGAATGTTTTACATGAAACTCTTGGAAAATGTTAGGACAAACAATGAAAATCCTCATATTTTGCCATCCATGATTGGCATAGTTGGGCTATTCGAGCTTAAAACAATGCATGCAGTTTTAGATTTTGCTGATTAGTCTGCAACCCCTACCCGAGTTGCACACTCATGCCATTACAGGAGATGTGATTACTTGCCAAAACTGTCTCTACTTATCCATGTTGTTGTCATTTGCTTGTATCAAAGATTTTATTCCCCTTTTTAATCATAAATGCGAGGCAGTAAATTCTTCTTACAACAGTTTAAAGAAGACCAATCGCAAGGTATCTGATCAAAGTTTCATTTTCAAGAAACCAACCGTTGACAAGCATACTTTCGCAAACGGCTTATGTCAGATCTTTCTCCTTTTTCCTTATTTATTGTTTGAAGAAAGAACTTCTACAATGACATTTTTAGAGCCTTTTTTACATACACTAAACTGAAGTAACTTTGGGTTTTGTGGTGTTACCCATTTTTTGTTTAATCGCAGTATTTGTTGAGATGTATTTTTACAGTGATAAAAGGGGAATCCGGTGGAGTCTAAGCAGGCAGGATCTTCTCGCCTCGGGATATTCTTGTGCGAGTTTTAGGGGGATAAAATGCATCATTTGATAGGTACATGTTTCATCATGTTCCTTGATTCGTTTGTTTTTCTTTAAGGGGGACACGTATCTGTGTGGAGAGGGAAACAGTCGATTTTGACTTAAACCTTTGTTTGCTGTTGTTGAATGATTTGTCCACGGGGCTCGGGATCGCCCCTCGTCTCACTCCGAAAACTGTTAGTTCTGCGATAAGTACCCACAAGGAAAGCATCATTGCCCATAGGAATGGGAGAGGTTGCAGTCAAGGAAGGTGTTCCTCCCGTAATCTGCCGATCTGGTGTCATGGTTAGCACTGCCCGCTGATGCCTATCCAAGCTCGTTGGCCCAGATTCCAGCCCATGAATATATGAAACATCTTGCATGCACGTTGCTGGTTTGCCCATCACTGCGTTCTCCATTGTGTCCAATGTGGGCGCCAATGTTACAAGATGGTAGGCGGAATTTATTGGTGTCACACCGTCCGTGAGGCGATAGCTTGTGCTTGGGATGGATACGTGATGAACGTAGTTGTGATCCACTGTAGCTGTTCCATGACGGTTTGCGGAACAAAAGGGTGAACAAACGGAGATTTGCGGAGAGGGAACTCGTCTAATTGTACCGGGTTCTCTGATATCTGGTCTATGAGTCCAGTAGCAGGCACCATTGCTGCCTCGCAGTTTCTCATATTCCAGACCTGGACTATAGGTAGCAGCGTCGTAGGCAACTATGCCATAGGCTCGTTGCCTGTTTGCATCGTAATAGCGTGGACAGGTAGTGATTTTAATTTGTTTCTTAATACGCCGCCGATAGCACAAAAAACCGCCAAGTCCAATAAAGCCAATGAGTATAAGCATCAAAGCTACTCCAAACATAACCCATAAAATAAGCTCCAGCTCAGGTTCTGAGACTAACCAACTAAGACCATAGCTTTGCTTCTTTTGTTGAGCTGTTGGTTCCACTGGCGTGAGAATGGGATCAATATCGTGAAGCATGTCTTTAGAAGTCGATCCAGAAGGAAAAAATAGTGGAATTTGAACTGTTGTTTCAAGGGCATTTTGGTAGTCGAAAGACGGAGGCGCGTGATCAATCGAGACAGCAGCTGTCGTGGTGGTGGTGGTGGTGGTTGTTGTGGAAGTGGTTGTCGTGATCCCACACGGATTAAAAGGATACCAATCTAGACGTCCATTTGGAAAACGTCGGCAACTAATGTCCACTTGACTGCACGAGAGTTCACAACTCTCTGAGGTGATTGGAAGAAGTTTGCCCGATCTTTCCTCGCTTGAGCATACCACGATTTCACATTCCTCGATCGCTGGACACTTTTCACAGCCTAAAAGAAGTAACAATTTCATCACTGAGGCGAAGGCAGTTAGGCTTAGCGGAGGAGATGTGTACGCGGGCTACATGGCACCCTATAGAAGAGAATAAACTTGAAAGTCTCGAAACCTTTTCAGACAATACATTGGGTCCGGCAAAACTTCACAACTGTTAGAACACAAATCTGTCTGTCTCCTTCATCGCTACTTCTTTTTGTCGCTCAACAGCTTTGACGCCCTCTTCATAGCACAGACTAAGGGGCTGGAGTGGGGAAGAAATCGTAAATAGAGGGAGATTTTATTGCTAGGAGCGGGAGAGGCGATGAAATACTTAGCCTTTGGACGGAGTGGACGTGTCATTAGGAGGTGCGTGAAGCGGGGCAAAGGACACGGGTCAACGCTCACAGCTTTGAATTTTCTCTGTCAGTCGCAAACCCTGACGCCAAAATTTTTTTAAGGAAAAAAAATGCTGACTTCTATTAATGCATGCTGTTAGTTGGTTTCTAGATGCTCAGGCATCGGATGAATAGCACAAATTTATACACCTGTCAAGCTAGGGAATTCCTTTCGTGGTGAATAATTAATGTTTTCTATTGTTTAGGCCAACCTCAACCTTGACGTGGTGACGAGTAATTTAAAGGAAACCGTCTGCGAAGTCCCAAGTGATTAGGTAGCTTGGATTGGCAGAGTGGATTGAGAATAGAATGAATGAGTGATGTGTCTATTTTGAAAAGGAAAAAGGAAAAATGTGATCTGCCGTTGATTCTCTACAACTCAACAAGGATAATTACAACTTGGAGCTGTAGGAAAAGCGACCTCATACCGTTTCGGCACATACGCTTGCCTTTCCATTAATTACAGGACTTAAGACTACTAACGAGGGTTCACGATTCAAAAGCACAAAAACAAAGTCCGAATTTAAAGTTGATACGTGATGATCGGGTTTAAAAAGCGAAAAGCTTAATGTTGTAGCGAGCCCCACATCTGGTAAAAAGGACTAACAAAGGCTTGAAAGGCTCGCATTGCCTTTGCTTAGAACTTTGCTACCTCAGAGGGCAGACAAACGATGGGGTAGAAGTTCATGCGTCATGCAATAAAAGAATAGTGTAATGACTTGCCCATATAAATGCTAATTGTATGGAATTAAGTGTAGGAATGGCTCAGCAAAAACTGTCTCAATTTTATAACGCTAGATCGTCTGCATTTCTGTCCTTTGTCATCGTCATTGCTGACGACTGCGAAGTCATTTTTAAGGGGTTCGTGACTGCCGCAAAGGGGAACTTCCCAAACCAACTTTTAGGACTCGTGTGTTGAACCCTCTTTATGTTTGACCACAGATATTCTCTGATCCGTCTAACGCCTTTACCATTTCCTTGTCTTGCAAACAGTTCGCTGGGATTTTATTGTTCCATGCCTCCTCGATTTCGTATGAGTTCGATCTCGAGGTAATTTACCTTTTGACATCAAAATTATGCCGATCTTCGAATGTGTGAAAATCTAACAGTCGCTGTGAAATGTGCTTTGTTTGGGTAATTCCAGTTTATGGGTGCGCGCACACAAACACACACACACAGGCTGATTTTTTCGTGGGAGTTGTGCATCGCCGCACTGCCCAGCGATTCAATAACCTCCGTATTATAAAAGGGGATGTGATCTTGAAAGTGGCTTTCAGAGCTCATGTGAGCCAATCATCAGCATACGATCTTACAATCATTCAAAGCATCGAGTGTACGGAAGAAGGCAGACCATGACAAATTGCGGCAAGTTAAATTGGTCTAGACTGGCTGTCGGCTTAAGAGTGAATTATGGTCTCTCCGAATGCCTTCCATATTCTTGTGCCCAGTGGAATGAAAAGCACCCCACTAATTGCCATCATTTTTGATAAATCACACCAACCCCTCCTTATTCACACTTTCCTAATAGAAAGCGTTATCTTCGCTTAAATGCCAAATCCCAACATGTGCACGAATGTTTGTGGCAGAATGGTAGTTAAGTCTGAAGTATTCTTTACAAATTTCATCCCATCCTCATACCATCGTCCAATGTTTATGCTCGAAATTTTGACCCTTTCGTCAGAATATTCAGTGCGATTAAGAAGCTACCGGTTACATTCAAATTCTTGCGTTCTTCTCAATGATGAATGAAAGACAAGTAGTTACTTCAGTTGAAGCCAACCGGCAACTTTACCATTGCGATGCATTGCAAAGCGCTCTATTTCGCCTATTCTACCCCGAACAAGCCTCATTACAAGACCGGAATTTTAAAAAAGCTGATTATAACGAAAGATACAAACCCTTGAAGAAGTACTGATATTCCAGAACAAGAATTTTGACTGCCTCCTGTACTTAAAATCGAGTGCTTTAACTATGGCACTAGAAGCTACTACTCTGTGACTACTTTAGCTGCCTCTCCTTCTACTAGCGAAACTCCGAGCTTCTCAGCCTTCACTTCTGCACAGTATCGCATCAGTCTGCCACCATGTTTAAGCTGTACGCAAGTGGGATCTGGAACAGCACACCGACAACACATCTTCCAACGGCTTGAATCAACTTCATCAACTAAAAATGTTCGAATTTCTTGGGCAAGAAGAACTAGGGTTCCAGGACCAAGGTTAGGCAGTTCTTTTTTGCATAAGATGGCAGAGATAGATGCTTGATGCAGAAGCACTTCAACGTTACTCAACCATAGCGATGCAAGGGCGCAGTAACTTTGAGGATACTTTTGCACCCTCCCCTTGCTGTAAAGTTGGACCATTAACATCTGTGGAAATTCGTGGCCACAATGCGTTGGTGCATTTCTTATTGTCGTACTTTTTATTCCTATTTGCACTGGACTGTTCATTTGCTATTCTTTTTGCTCAATAGGCACTGCGGTTGTCCCACTTGGTGAAGACCCTATTGCTCACAATCCCCGAGAGAAGTTTGTTAAAAATGGTCATGCAGGAGGACAGATAATAATAACCAGACGTGAGGTATCCTAGCTCTCCCAGTAGCAGTGATATTCAGTGCAGAAAAACAGGTTTAATGGCGTTCCGCTTGCTTTACGGTGGGGGAAGGGCGGGGGGACGTGAAAGACAAACTTCCTCCGACGAGATATCTGCATCAAGTTGCTCAGTAGTAAAAGCAGCGAAGGAGGCAAAGCGAAATGTGCGAAAAATTGTAACCATCCAAGAGAGAGAAAAGAATTCGCTTGCCATTACTTTGTGGCATTTCCTCAGCGAAACTCATAGGGCGCACTACAAGTCGCTGAATCAAGTGAGGAGTATCAGGGACTAGTTTCACAAGATTTGGACATCAAAACTGTGTCTCCTGTTTTACATTAACTTTTCATCATCCAAACAGGCATGAAAAACACAGTCTGGCAAATTAAAACGATTTGGTCACTGTGTATGAGGTATAGATAAGGGGGTCCCAAATACCACCTAATTAAGCACTGCCCGAGGGCTTCGTACCACCGAAATCAGTTTGCATGCTGGTGAATCAGTTTCTCCCATTTCCTCTTACCTGGCAATCAGTGAGTCCTTCACATTACATCAAAGGGGGTAAAGTTATTGTGTTGAAGAGAGGGAAAGACACAGTGTGTCGCCATGTACCCTGTAATGCCTTAAGCTTACGTCAAAAACGGTGAGAGTAGGCAGACCATTCTACCACTTGACACAATCGACAGCGAAGCCTGCGGCAAAAGTAGAAGGAGAGGGCGCTTCGCCCTCCCGTCCCCGTTACAATCTTATGTTTGCTGTTTTTAAGTCTTGCAATAAAAAGGCCAAAATGGGATTTCTCGGAGGCAAAAGAAGTTGCATTGCATAGTGATGCAGTGGGGCTAAAAAATGAGCATGGGAAGAAACTAGACATTCCAATTTCCTTTATAACTGAAATCTGGAATTCCTTTTTGGTCATTTCTTAAAGGCATTTCCAAATTTAGCAAGGTTGGTTTTCTTATCTTAGAATGGTGGATGTTAGGGTGTAAGGAGTGACATGAATTGCCGTCTTAGAGCGTTATGAATGACGTGTCACAATCCCCCAAAACATGTGGCAGAGGTGTTTTCTGTTGCCTTTAAAATATTATTTGAAATAAACAAACCCGAATTGGTTGCATGAGGGCTCATAAGACTCAATTAAATGGTGACAGAAGATTTGGGTTTCGTAAACACACTCCGTCCATGCCTGGGCTGTGTTGTTGCCTGGTTGGATAGTCAACTGGAAGCCCAACAAATGATGTCGTGTAATGTTTTTAAAGTTTACCACCTCCAAGTGGCCGAGCTAATGGCACTCCCTTGCCCCCTCCTGATCTCTCATTTACGCAATAATTAGAGCGCGATAGATTTTTTTGCGGAAGGAATTAAACCTTCCTCCTTTATTTGTTCACAGTTCCACTAATGAATCAGGCATGAACATAAATATGTCCACACTTCAAAAGACTTTACTATCCGCCATTCCTTCCACTTCATTATCTTGTCAGTAGTTGCTCCGATCAGCTGCGAAAATAAAGTGGTTGTCGTGTTTTTACCCATGGCTACTCCGCCACCTCTATTTCCCTTGATGCTTTCGGCTACAAAATGCCTCCTTAGTTTTTTTTTTGCGGTCCGTGAGTGTTTGGGAGACTTATACATTGCGTCTTTAAGAGCGCAATTCTCGCCACTTTCACACATCAAAGTTGTGAATCCGCTGCACCTGTCTGTTTTGAGAGGTGGGTCAAGTGAAAATGCTGGAGAAAGTGGTTGTTTACATTCACTCCGACTGGATCAAATTTGCACTCAGCGTTGTGTAGATTGCATCACAAAAAAGCACCGAGTCCTATGTCAGAGAAAATTCACCAAATTTACCTCACTCAAAATAATTAGGCGCGATGCATAGCCTGGAGCCGATTTTACTATCAACTCGGTGTAACACAGCCTGTCTCAAGACTGCAAATCGGAGTTTTAATTTCAAACTTTGTTAAGCCTTGGTAAAATGAGAAAAAAAAAGTGTGCACTTTCAGATGTTCTGAGGCCAAACAAATCGCAAGCCGATCTTTTCAAGAACTCACATCAACTAGGA